TAGTTGGCAATGATAGTAGACTTGCGATGCATCTGCCGCACTCTCTCCTTCCCTCTCCCCACCCGGACCCCGTGTCAAGGTCACAACTAGTCATGATTTTTCAGCACCAAGTGAGCCCACGGAAGGTAAATAAATGACCGTGGTTTGTTCCAAGGTCGTAAAATATCACTTTAAGATCTGTGTGATGCTACCTCCGACTCCAAGTGGTCAAGGGTGACACTCACACGCTCATATTCATAAAAGATACAAAATGAAGCATAGGTTGTTTTCAAAACTGTTCAGAAATAAAATACTGTAGGTCAGTCACCTTTAATTGTCATTGTCATTATAGCCAACGCTCTAACCACTTGACCTAAGAGGCCCCGCCGGACGACGCGAGTTTAATCACATTTGGGTCAAGTTACCCGCTCAACCTACTGCAACGTCTGGAATCCACCAAATGTGATACAGTAAGTTGACTGCCCAGGCAGGATTTCCTAAGTAATTCACCTAGAATCCACCAGATGACTACCAGGCTTACGTAGTTTTGACAGATTTTGAATAAGTTATCTGGTTATCTTGTCATCTGGTGGATTCTAGGTGAATTACTTAGGAAATCCTGCCTGGGCAGTCAACTTACTGTATCAGATTTGGTGGACTCCAGATGCTTCAGGAGGTTGGGCGGGTAACTTGACACAAATATGATTAAACGCGAGTCGTCCGGCGGGGCCTCGTAGCTCAAGTGGTTAGGGCGCTGGCTGTAATAAGCCTTCCCCTTACTGCATGGGTTCGAATCCCACCGAGGCGCCGAGTTTTCCACAGTTGGGTCAATATGAATTATTCAAAATCTGCCCAAACATCTGCGGATTGTCTTTATAAGTGAAAGTGAAAAGTATGAAACTGAATTTGTGGAGGGTTAAAATTTGAAGCCTTAGTATAATGAGTATTAGACTTAAGATAGTTCCACTAGCATGGGTAGAATACTGCAAAATAATAAAAATGGACAGTTTAAGCGTAATCAAGTTGTCTTAGAAATCGATGGGGGAGGGCGGCATTCGAAATGACCTTTAAAATGTAATTCTGGGGATTCGAACAGGAACGAAGAAATTCCCAAATAAATGCATATCAGACAGATTTTCTCAGTTAAATAATCTTAAAGTTTGATGCCAACTTTTGCTAGTATTACAAGTCAAATGTTAGTAGCAAATATGACACAGAGACAAGATAAACTGCTCCATGTAGCAGCAGTCTTTCTATGAAGTAAGCCCTGGATACAAGAGGCTCGTATAGGGACTGCGGACACCGCATTCCCGGCATCAGTGCTAATGCATCACAGTGGGGTAGGTTTTCTTAACCGGTGGTGGTCCAAGCCACTAAACAAACGTTTTCAAAATTCGCCAACTTCGAACGTCATTCCTGACAATCTTTCCATAGGTCGTAGTCGTCGTCGTCGTCTTTATCCTGCAGAAACCCTCAGAGAAGTAGGTACCTTACCAGAATGGTGACTTTTGCTTAAAGTAGACTTTAGCAGATAGAGATTTTTGGTAGTACGTCATTAAGAGCTTACAGACGGTGTTAGTTCTTCTGCGAGCCGTAGTGCGAAAGACTACTGACAGCTGTCTCACTGCATATATTTGGCGGACACAATTACATGGGGCAGCTTAAATTTCTGGTCCTTTTGGATGTAGATAGTACAGTTTCGCGACGTTTATTTCTAGACCAGTGCTTCTGCTGCTCGATTTTTGCATCCGGAAAAGCTTCCTCAAATTTTGGATGCTGAATCCACTGATCGACTCTACCGTAGCGATGGTGTTTGTGGTCTCTGAACACTATGGCTGGTCGCACCAGCTGTTCCTCAACGCCTCTTCTTTGACTATCCCCAACTTCATGAAAGGAATTGACGTCCGATAATCTCCGATACCGTGGAACACCCTCCTCCCCCCCCTTCTTGACGGTCGAAAATCTACCACCAGCAGTTTTTTTGCTCCTGAACCCTTCAAACCATAAAACCCACCATCAACTATATTTTTATTCCTCAGGAGTTTTTTTTTACTGCAGGTTGGATTTGTGTTTAATCGTTTCCCTTGACAATGCCTGTAAACTGGCATTTAATAAATTAAATTAAATTAAATAACCAATTCGACCCAGCAGCGTGCATAGTACATCTTGGATTTCAAGTTCCGCCAGCGAACATTGCCCGAGGATTATTATCTAATGCTAATGCCACTAATCAAGATGTTTTATTTACTTTATGGTCTCAGCATACTGCCGTGTGTGAGGTGCCGTGGAATGATAGTTACTTGGATGGACCGACAGGTGAAGGATACCACTAGCTACTAGAGGTGATCATTTTCACTCCGACCCCACTCTCAGTCATGCTCTCATCTACGGCCCCATGAGATAACACTGAGCGCAACGAGCACAAGTGGTTGGAGAAATGAAAGGATCGGAGCAGATTTGTCACTTCAATACCCATAGATTCGCGTGTTTTTGTTGTGGGAAGGGGGCCTGCCAAACCGGAGATTAGTAATATGTGGTCATATAGCCGCACCTGATGGGCACAATCCTGTTGACCTACTTAATTATTTTGAGTTGGTGTGACTACGTTGGCATGCTGTTGTTGTGCGTTGTAGTGGGAGTTCTGTTGGCGGCCTTGTTTATTTGTTGCCGTGTCTACCTTTTTCGACCCAATGCCGGTGGTCCTTCTTGACTTTCGGCCAGCCACCTCCTTCGCGTTGGATGTTTCAAGGCTGCGGTTAAGGTTTAGAATTAGGATTGCGGAGTTAGGCCTAGAGTAAGGTTGGGGTTAGGGCTTAGGGTTAGGGACTAGAGTTAGGGTCCGTGGTCTGTTCCAATACCGTCAAATGCCCCTTTAACATCTGTGTGATGCTACCTCCGATTCCGAGTGGTCAAGGGTGACACACACGCTCATATTCCTGAAAGATCCAAAATGACGCATAGGTGGTCCTCAAAACTGTTCAGAAATAAAATATTGTAGGTCGGCCCCCTTTAATTGTCATTGTCGCTATAGCCAACGCTCTAACCACTTGAGCTGCGAGGCCCTGCAGGACGTCGCAAGTTTAATCACACTTGGATCAAGTTACCCACCCAATCTACTGCAACGTCTAGAATCCACCAAATCTGATACAGTAAGTTGACTGCCAAGGCAGGATTTCTTAAGTAATTCACCTAGAATCCACCAGATGACTACCAGGCTCGCGTAATTCATAGATGTTTTGGCAGATTTTGGATAATTCATCTATGAATTACGCGAGCCTAATAGTCATCTGGTGGATTCTAGGTGAATTACTTAGGAAATCGTGCCTGGGCAGTCAACTTACTGCATCAGATTTGGTGGACTCCAGACGTTGCAGTAGGTTGGGGGGGGGGAGGGGTAACTTGACCCAAATGTGATTAAACTCGAGTCGTCCGGCGGGGCCTCGTACCTCAAGTGATTAGAGCGTTGGCTGTACCAGGTTGGATTTGTGTTTAATCGCTTCCCTTGACAACGCCTGTAAACTGGCATTTAATAAATTAAATTAAATAGCCAATTCGACCCAGCAGCGTGAGTAGTACATCTTGGATTTCGAGTTGCGCCAGCGAGCATTGCCCGAGGGTTATTATCTAATGCTGATGCCACTAATCAAGATGTTTTCTTTAATTTATGGTCTCAGCATACTGCCGTGTGTGAGGTGCCGTGGGATGGTAGTTACTTGGATGGACCGACAGGTGAAGGATACCACTAACTACTAGAGGTGATCATTTTCACTCCGACCCCACTCTCAGTCATGCCCTCATCTACGGCCCCATGAGATAACACTGAGCGCAACGAGCGCAATTGGTTGGAGAAATGAGATAATTGGAGCTGACTTGTCTCTTCAACGCCCATAGATTCGCGTGTTTCTGTTGTGGAAGGTGGACCAGCCATTCCGGAGATTGGTAAGAGGTGATTGTATAGCCGCACCTGATGGACACAATACTGTTGACCTACTTAAGTATTTTGAATTGGCGTAACTACGTTCGCATGTTGTTGTTGTGCGTTGTAGTGTGTTTTCTGTTGGCGGCCTTGTATATTTATTGCCGTGCCCACTTTTTCGACACAATGCCGGTGGTCCGTCTTGAATTTCGGCAGGCCATCTCCTTCTAACTCTTGCGTTGGATATTTCAGGGATGCGGTTAAGGGTTAGGATAAGGGTTGAAGAGCTAGGCTTAGGGTGAGGTTGGGGTTAGAGTTAGGGTTAGGGGTTAGAGTTAGGGGTTATGGTTAGGGGATAGGGTTAGGGCAACTATTCCTCAACGGCTCAAAATACAACCGCGCATTCCCAATAGCTTTTCTTTTGCATACAGTTACTTGCTTGTGTGGTCCCTTGCCCCTCCTATGAAAGCCCCTATTACCACCGGTCCGTATTACAGGCGACTGAGGTTTGTTTACCTCATATACGGCTACATGATCATATCTGACCAGGAGATTTATTCCACATTGGACCCCGTTCCCAAAATGATCCACAGTTATCCTGGTGTATTCTTGATAATAAAACACGAGGCGGCGGAGGAATGCGGCCGCGATAGCATCGTCCTAGGAAACCTTCTGGGGCCAACCATAAAGTTCCCGGCAGGATGACGGCATTCGTCACTTTGCGTTTTCCCACTGCAGTCTCCCCCAGGAGGGCAGAGGGGCCAATAAGCTGCGAGGTCCGAAAGCTTACAATTGGCTGACGTAATCATGCGCTGGCTTATGCGCTCATGCTGCTTACACAGCACTCTTTACTTGTTGTCTTTCCAGCAAACATGATATTCAAGCGTTTTCCGCCACTACTAGGCAGATATTCCCTTGAATATTTTTCATTCATCTGAATGTCCATAATATCTACTCCTACCACAGTCAAAATTTTATTCTTCTGACGTTTTAGATTCGTGCTCGAACACAGTATCAGAGCCAGCATCAGACTGGGGTAATTCATACACAATGGGTAGCAGTATTTACAAAGCGCAGTCACTATGCCACTACACACCCGACAAAATTAATCGCTCACCCCTTCATCACAGATTGCTGTCCTTGGTACCACCACTGCCTGATGGCCAACATCCAAGTCGTTGATCGCCACCATCTTATCATCCCTACGATCGGATTTTGGCATGATAATTACTCCGTCATTCAGCTCACCGACACTGGTGCTCGAAACAGACCGCGCCTGCACGATCCCCGCCTGGTTAATTATTCCGCTCAGACCTAGTCCCAGCACTGAATATAGATGGGGTAGATCACTCCGCCTGTTACTAGACTGGGGAATACTTAGTCGTGACTCAAGCAGCTCGAGGTTCACGCAATTACCAACCCTCGCAACAATTTCAGCCTTATCGAACTCGGATGTGTGGCTGGGTTCCGTCGAACTAGCCAGGACTCGAGAGCTGACGTCATTCGTCCGCACCGCTGCTGTGCGTTTGGCTGTTCGGGTCCGCAGCATTTTTTCGGTTTCTCCGAGGTAGTTGCTCTGTTTGCAATTGTACCAGATCCAGTGAGTGACTCCAGATGTTTCTTGCCGTGGCAGAGGGTCTTTTGGTTTCGCCTCCTCGTGACTGATGGTTACACCCGGTCTGTGTGTAACTGGTGCGAGACGTTCTTGACGTATGGAAGTGATCTCCAAAATTTGGGATGGGTGGGATGCAGCCTCTCGTCTTGTTTCCATATGTACCGGTCGACACAGTTGCGCGTGTGGCCGTGTGCTCCTAGATCCTGTCGAAGTTAATGTCATTCAACAATCTTGTTTTCCGGTTCACTTCAGTTCGTCTCAACACGGTGATATAACGTCCTTGCACAACTGTGTTTGTGGCTGATCGCGTAGTTTGCGTTGGAGTTCAGTATTTGCGTCGTATTTGCCGTTTTCCATAAACTTTGGATCTTAGGGCAGACAAAGACATCAGGAAAGGTCAGTCGATTCTCTTTTTTCTCCTCCATCGTGAACTGAATGACCGGGAAGACGACATTCAAACGTTCTTTGAATGCCAGCACCTGATTGCGTTCGATAATGACGGTTTGCAGCGCTTGAAGACCGGTGACTCCAACCGTTGCAGGACCGCCCCGACTGAGTTCCGAAACCGCCGGACTCATTGCTGTACCTTTCACCTGCTCACAGATTGTTCTGTTGGACGCAAAGTCCGTCCTGAAACAGAAGTTCAGTATCTGAAGGGCTCGGGCATGTCCAAGGCCGTTCTCTGTCTAGCCGCATCTGCTTTCTAGTAGTCTTGACCGCCAGATCCCGGGGAATAGTAACAAAGGGGGATGTGGCATCAAAAGACACCATTATCTCGTTCGGCAGGAACCCTACCCGTTTAAGTTCCTCCAAGAATTGTTGTGGCGTACAGACCATGGTGCCCGAACCAGAGGTCGGAAATGTGAGACACCGAAACAGCCTCTTTATTAATCCGTACGCTAGATTACCTTTGAACTATACGACGGCCCACTGTCACGGCAAGAAACATTTGGAGTCACTCACCGGATCCGGTGCAATTGCAAGCAGAGCAACTACCTCGGAGAAACCGAAAAAATGCTGCGGACGCGAACAACCAAACGCACAGCAGCGGTGCTGACGAACGACGCCAGCTCTCGAGTCCCGGCTATTTCGACGGGACCCGACCACAAATCCAAGTTCGATAAGGCCGAAATTGTCGCGAGAGTTGGTTATCGCGTGAACTTCGATCTGCTTGAGTCACAACTAAGTATTCCCCAGTCTAGTAACAGGCGGAGTGATCTACCCCATCTATATTCAGTGCTGGGACTAGGTCTGAGCGGAATAATCAACCAGGCGGGGAGCGTGCAGGCGCGGTCTGTTTCGAGCACCAGTGTCGGTGGGCTAAATGACGGAGTAAGTATCATGCCAAAATCCAATCGTAGGGATGATAAGATGGCGGCGATCAACGACTTGGATGTTGGCCATCAGGCAATGGTGGTACCAAGGACAGCAATCTGTGATGAAGGGGTGAGCGATTAATTTTGTCGGGTGTGTAGTGGCATAGTGACTGCGCTTTATACATACTGCTACCCA